GGGAACCACAATCAGAAGGGAAATTACATAGGAAATGCGGAAAGTTGACTCAATATTACCACAGGAGTCTTTTAATCATTGTATTTGAAAATAATCAGACGTGGTTCGTCCCTTCCTGCGCAGATGGAAGATCTTCCGTGAACATCTACGAGGCGATTTTTTCTTACGTGTGGTCTTTTCCGTCATTTTAGTTTCGGTGTTAATGAGTTCAATTCATTGAGCATTTCAATTGAAGTCGGATGGGTTAGCATGCGGCTGCACGGTTCTGATCGTTTCATTGCGTTCACGGAGAATCTGTTTCAGTTTAATTTCTGTTTAATGAATCGGTCTTGAGTTAATTAATTCAGTTGTTAGGAATAGATTTTCTGCATCATTATTATGGAAATACAGTCGTTTTTGCTATGGCGATTGAGCGAAATAAAGTACTGCTTATGTGTTTAGACGTTCGTGTGATTATTTCGTGAAGTTAACTTGCAGCTTTTTCAGGTTTTTATCATCGCTTGTGTAATTTAATCTTCATTTTTCTGTTATTCGTCAATATTTTGTGATAACAATCATCAAATGACCTCAATTAGTGGCGAGGTAACATTAGGTCGAGGTCAGAACTATCCACTAGAGAACTACAANATCAAATGACCTCAATTAGTGGCGAGGTAACATTAGGTCGAGGTCAGAACTATCCACTAGAGAACTACAAAAAAGGTTTATTGTTAGCTTCGTTAAGCGGTTGAATATTTTGCAGTTATGCTGTCCACAGTTATCTCAAATGGATAGAATTGTTTGCTGAGCAGGAGCGATGCAGAGAAACTAAATGATGAATGATTGCAGGTGCTCGAGTATGGATCCGAGATCCTGAACTAGTGTGGATTAGTGCGGAATTGTTGTCCGATGTAAAGTTTTCTACGAAAGTGATCGAAGTTCAACTTGAGAATGGAGAGGTGATGATGCTACCTGTGCATTTTACTCATGGCAGTTCGTATGAAACAGTAAAATCATTAGTAATGCTGTGGAAAGTCTTTCATGAGGAAATATCCATCAAAAAAGCAAAAAATTACCTATCGTTTTATCACTGACCGTAGTATAGATTTTGCACGTCAAGCGTCATTCCTTATCTTCTTTAAACAATTATTTGGAAGTTTGACGAGCGCTATCTTTATAGTTTTCTTCTCAATCGTACAAAAATCTTCATATTGCAGGTTCAAAATATTGAGGTGAAAAATGCGGATTCGTTGCCATTTCTACGAAATCCAGATATTCTATTGGGTAAAGATGATCTCACGTCGCTAAGCTACTTGCATGAACCAGCCGTCCTTAACAATCTCAATTATCGTTTCGTTAATATAAAAGCTATCTATACATATTGTGGTATTGTGTTAGTGGCCATTAACCCATACGCTAATTGCTCACAACTTTACAGTGATGATGTTATCCAGGTGATATATTACTGAATTCCATGCTTGTGATTTACTATTCTTCTGATTCTTTTTATTCCACCTAGAAACGGAATTCAAGCGCAAGCTTGTTTAGCTTAACCGTTC